GCAGGAGGGCGAGAGATGGAGCCGCTTCAAACTGAGGCTGCTGCGTTTTTGGGGCTGAAGGCTGAAACTCATGTCTATGTTTGTTACTATACTATTGTTAATGTGCATATACAAGAATATGAGGGAGTCCCCAACTGGCTTTACTGTGGTTGGAGACCCTCCATGCTCTGGTATTTAATAATGTTGTTCCATAGGTCGAATCACACTTACAAATTGAAATATTATGTATTTCCTTGCATTGAAATCAGCATATCAAACTCAAACACATCAACAGGATCTGCAGTTACGGCCTCTGGTGATGTCACTAACTTCAAAAGGACAAACAGAACAGCAGGGCAGCAAGGGTTTCTGGTCTTTGTGGTTTAGTTATTAACTGTGAGTCTACTGAAGTGCTTTTTGTTTGTTTTATCTTGAAACTTTTGTCAAAAAATATAACGCCTTGAACTGTATTTTGATATTTTAGTCATGAATGTAATTCCTAAGTATGTTTACACTCAAATAATTGAAAGGTTTTCAAAGCTCATTAATCTAAAACTCCCCCCACATTCGCAACACCATCCATTTCAGTCTTAGACTCAATAGTCATTCCAGCAGATCCATACAGAGATCAAAATGAAACAGCAGATTTTAATTGGCCTCACATTTCTTGGATCTTTGAGTTTTTCATCCCGTAGGTGGCCCGAGGAATACAGCTAACAGTTTTGTTCATGTTGTTGCTAATCATTAATATCACAGCAGGGGGAACATGGGAAATCGTTCCCAGCCAGATTGAGTTGGATCAATACCCTTAAAAAGGGCAGTTGCCTAATCTAAAACTTCCCTCAAATTAGCAGAACTGTCCAATTCAGAGCGCTCTTTGCCCAGACTCAACAGCCACTCCAGCAGATCCATACAGAGATCAAAACTCAACAGCTAATTTAGAGTGTGCTAGAGTTGTTAGTGCTGTGAGCTCCCCGAGGAATACTGGGACCAGTTTTGTTCATGATGTTGATACATTATTAATATTACAGCAGGGGAGCAAACCGTTCCTGGCCAGATTGGGTTTGATCAATACCCTCAAAAAGGCAGAGAAGTCTCATTAATCTAAAACTTCCCTCACATTAACAAGACTGTCCAGTTCAGGCCCCTCTTTACTCCATACACAGATCAAAACTACAGCTAATTTAGAGTTTTTGAAAACCTGTGAGCTCTCCAAGAAATACTGAGACCAGTTTTGTTCATGATATTGATATATTATAGGGATTTTTTTTTTTTTAAACATCCCTTTGAACATCATTTAGCTTTGTAAAAAACTAGTTTATTTAGTACATTTTCAAAATATGAACATGAAGGAGTTGAAAAATGTATTTTACCTTTAGGAGGTCTGTAATTCTAAAATAACACAAAACTCACTCGAATTCACAATTCAATATTTGCCAATACAATATTTGGAAACTGTTGACACTGTTGACATCTTGTTGTCATGCATGAAAAGGCATGACAACAAGATGTAGTCGTTCTGTATCATATCATTAATTCAGGAGTTTTCTTTACATACATCTTATTTTAGGTCACTTCCGGTGAAAATAAAATGTGAAAAAAACATTTAATCAAAAATGCCAAACATGCAGGATTTGATGGATGTTTTATGTGAATGTAACTATGAATGTCTTTGCATTTTTATATGTTATTTTTTGTTTTAAATCCTTTAATGTATTCTTTTTGGCTATTTTGACAAAACAATGAATTGATAAATTAATCTACAAACTAATTGGCAGATTTATCCATACAAGTAATCATAAATTGCAGCCCAAAAAAGAAAAAAGGATCTTTGTTTTGTTTCAGTCAGAAGCATGAAAATACGGCTGAAAACACGATCAGTACTAGATGTGAGCAGACGTGCGGAGAGTTGATACTCCTGTGACCCGTTGGTGTTTAAAGATGTGCCAGTGGACGCACTATATTATCTTCCTATAGACAGGCTAATCCATTATGGGCCCTCTTGCGGTAAGAGTGAAATGCTCGTATTAGGGCAACTGTGCGTTCAGAGGCATCATTCAGGACAATGAGCTATAGCCAGAGAGTGACAAGCTAGAAAAATGTCCCCACTTTTCAGGCTGTACAAATGACGTTTGGCCACGATAACTCACAACTGGACACTTCATTTCGAGTCGGCAGCGAGCTGGCCAGTCAAAAGCTATCATACCATCTTCTTTATTTGTGGCCCGTGGTTTTGGTAGCAGGCCTATCAAATAAATACAGCTAAAATGGCACTTCAGTCAAAAATATTGGCCAATTCTTTGACTGCCGTGACTGGGCCCGGATGGCAACCTGTTTCTGATGGAATAAACCTTTAAGAGTCAGGTGGTCAGGCAGCCAGTATCCATCAAGCCCAGCAGCACTATGAGTGTTAGTTTTGGATATATATGCATGTGAATAAGAGTGACCAATGCTGCCAATCCCGTGGAGCCATTCCCAAAGCATAATAGTCAAATTAATTGATTACCAATTTATCATTGGGGAATTGCTTGCTTAGAGGAGTAATCACTCACCGATAAAGAAGAAATGGCTATGAATACATTTCAAGGATGACAATCTTTGAGGAGTAATAGTATAATTTGTCACTTGTGACAGTCTATTTGATTGTTCTCGATATTTCAGCCTGGTGGAATATTGGACAGAATCATGACGAGTTGTCAGAGCCAAGCTGAGGTGTGTGTGGATGCGTCGAGTGGTGCTTTAATACGGTAATAAGGCAGTCAGAAGAACACTTACACTTCCTAAGGTGACAGCAGCTTTATCGCGCATCGCCTCATAAAGTCCCATCATATCTGCTCGCCACTATTATCAAATGGCTGTTTAGCGTGCCTCTGTGTGTCCGTGTGTGGGTGTGTGAAAGACACAGAGAGGATGAGCGAACAACCTGTGTTTGTGTGTGTGTGCTGAGGGTAATGATATGAGAGCACAACAAGATCAGCATGAAAAGTGAGTTGATCCTGGGCGAGGGCAGCAGCACCACAAAGACTCTGAGCTTTTTATAAGAAAAATAAGCCCATCCTCCCACACTGAAGGGAAACATTTCTCTTTCTCACTGCTATTCCCTCCTGAAGCCCAGACAGCTGTGGTCAAACTTAGGTCAATAAAAGGTCTGTTTGTCCATTGAGTTGCCAAATCTATCAAAAGATGAAAATTTGCTTTAAAGGAGAGATAGAATTCAGCGGGGAGAGAGTGGGTCCTTTCTGTGAGGCATGCAGGAAATTAATCAAGGAAATGGGGTTTTTGGTGTGCCTATATCAAATCTAATCTATCCTTTGTGCACATGTAGCCGGCTCCAAGCCTCACCAATCAAGAGCGACACACTGGCTTTATGAAAAGCCACTTGTTCCCTGTATAATTGGGGGGTCTCATTGCTGAGTTAAATGGGAGGTGGAGGTAGAGGGAGGGGCAGTCTTGTTTGCCCATGTAAAGTGTGATCCAGATAATAGCATTCTCATCAAAGGCGGCAATTACATTCATTACAACGACGCGAGGCGCGCCTGCAAGGAAATTAAGTGGTGAGAGGAAAGAAAAGCTTAATATATACCTCCTTTATCCTATCCCCCACCTCTTGGTTCTTTTTCAAATGCTCCTCGTGGAACAGGAGACCTCAAGAAAGAAACAGTCTCAGTAGGAGGAGAATAAATCTTGTCAAAGTCCCCCTTCACCTTTCTGCCTCCAAGAGGCTCCTGTCTACCGTTACTATGGCTGCACTTGTCTAGGATTAAAAAGCTTTTCCAGGAGGGTAATCTCTAATGCAGCTTTTACACAGGCCCAACAAATGACACCAAGTCTTTAAAAACTGCTTAAGACCTTCTCTAAATGAAATTCCAATTTATTTCAAGAAAGGAGGAGCAAATCAATTGTCTTGTGTGGCGTTAAACCACAAACAGCCTGTAAATCAAGCGGTTAAGAGGAGAAGGGAACCTTTTCATTCAGGCCTTTTAAATGTGAATCAGAGCAAGTGGATAACACTGCAGCCTTCTCAACGACAGGTGTAGTCCCAGAGCCCATTCTCCATGAGCCTGTGTGTATATTCAAACTCGCTCATATTATTTAGATTAGTCTTGTGAAGGTTTTGAGTTCAAGTCAGGCCTTTACAAAATGTTAAGTATATGAGTAATTGTGTCAATTGTGTCAACATAGACAGAAATGTTGGATTAGTGGGTTTGATATACTACAGCTACAGTTTTTCAACACAGCTGAAGCCATTTATATGCAGGTTTCCATCAGTGTGACCAATGCGTTATTGGGTGTAAATGCCAGCCTCAGTAAGCCCTATTAAGAGTATTACCTGCTCTCGGTCTCATTAATACATACTCACTGCCCTTTAAAAGAACAGCTTAATATATTGTGCGGTGGACATGTCTTTAATGCAGAATTACATTTAACCAATTATTCCCCTTAAGTATATTAAGTCTTAATAAATCTGCCCTTCATTATAAAAGCGTCATCAGTTCTTACTGCCTGAAATGCTTAGTTGGAAATACAACATAAGAATATTGTATTAATGATTAATAATATAACATAAAACAAAACTATTGAAACATAAGAGAGCACAGGGAAGTGTGCACTTTGTCTCTTCCATGCGACAAATCATTGTGGCTGTGTGTAAATTATTCAACAGGATCTGGCCCTGGTGGAAACCTGAGCATAATTAAATTGCAATAAAATAACATTAGTTTGGACAGGCTGTTAGAAGGTGATGTAATTGGCCGCTCACTGTGGTCATGGTTCAACTGATGGGGTCGACTGTCATGTCTTCCAGCGCTCCTGTACATGCTGTCCCCGGGGACTGACAGCTGACAGACGGGACTCTCTTACTGTACATTGAGCTCTCCATGTCTGTGCAGTGATAGCCACGATCTGGGTAATCTTGATAAGTCAGAGAAAAAGTCCTACTAACAGTACAAGCCTACATGTCTAAGCTTTGTGTCCTGTATCATGTGGAGCCTCAAAACAGTGTCTGGCAGAATGGGAAGTACCTGTTTCACCACTGAGTCATGTGCGCCATCTAGTGTCCAGATGTTGAAGTGTACACACATGAAGCCAGGCCGCAGCAGGTGTTCATGCAAAAATGTAAGAAAAGTAAGTTAAAATTGTTGAAATTATCTAAATGGACACACAAACAGCTCATACAGATGCCAATATTACTACATAGAATAAAGTGTAGTTATTAGGCAGATTAATTTTCAACAGCAAACATGTGACTCATGTTACAAAGTAAAGAATTACCTTGTCTACATTAGTGATGGAATACTATTGCTCTGACAGTAGCAGGTGTAACGAAGTAAATAGATACCAGAGCTCGGTCGTTTATCATTTTCTCCTCAATGGTTTTCCTACAACTTTGACACAAATGGGGCAATGCGATCTTCACCAAGCGCTTACTTGTAAATTATTGATTGTGATAAAACATGAATGAGTCAATAGCTTTTGAAAGTAATGCAATTGTTGTGCCTCATTTGCCACTAGTGCATAATTGCAAACTGCACATCTGAAAGTCTGTCATGTCACTGATGTGAGTAGAAATACTATCAAGTTAACTTCATTAGTTTGTTAGTTTGTAAGAGAGCAGTGTTTCAATTCAACATGTCTGTGAAAAAAAATACCACTGAGCTCGTATATGCAAACAATGACAGTATGAATCTTTAAATCACTAATTCCCAATATGCTGTCCAAAAAAAAGTTCCTTCAGAAATAAATCCTTACATTTAAAGAGCAGATACCAACCAAAATGTTTGCATTCATCAGACTTGGTTGAATGAATTTTGAAAATAATCAGTAACAAAGTTGCATAATATTGAACAGAAAGGCAATTACACAGTGTATCTTTCAGCGGTGCTAAAGGTATCTAATTTGTAGCCGATGAGTTTTAGCTAACAAACAAATGTTTGTTTGTAGATGCTTGGAAAGCACAGCTTCTTACAATTGTTTTTTAAACCTACTTTAACTCGACGCCTTGATACAATTCCAAAACTTGAAGTCTATGTTTTAAAAAATACTATATTAATTATAATTAACTGTATCTTACCCATTCCTGCTGTGACCCGTTTTTAGGCCTTGACAACTACTAACATTGATTTATTCGGTCTCCTGACACAGAAAACCGGCAGGTAAGTTAGTTGTCGATTCATTGTACACTTCACAAGCGTTGGATAATAATATGTTGTGGGTTTTATACAATATATTCAACTGCATCACTGTTTTATGTCAACCCAAGTAAGAGCGTTACTGATAGGAACCTTTCTTCGCAGTTACATCGAGTTTTTGGCGGGAATGATTTCACCGACGCACACTAAATGAACTTTCACCCCGCCTTATTGTTTTGATTAACAGGTTGTCTTTTCGCGTGAATTGAAGCAAGCACCTCGGGTGAAAAACCTCATAAAACAAGTGGCACTCATTGGGATTTACTGAAACGCATACAGTCTGTGTTAATAATGACCGTGTCGACTTGATAGCGGCGCTGTTGTTGACAAAGATGCTTTTCTCCCAAAGATAAGCTAACATTAGCTGTCTGGTAGCGTATCTTTGGTAACAACATGACGGTGATGGGGAGCGGTGTGTAGGAGCGACCGACCAGACATTGGATCGCCCCGATTTCCTGCTTGTCAATCACACATCTCCAGGATTATAATGTCTTTGTGTCTGGATACAGTCGACACGGCTTTCTAAACAAAAAAACAAAACTGCCTTCATCTAACCAAGTTATCTGCATGTGGTCTTTAAAATTCAGCTATTGTGATACTGTGACTTTTTCAAATAACGTCTTAGCTACATTTTTCGGACCTCATGCCAATTCACTTACGATCTTCAGTAATTCAAGTCAATACGTGTTGGGTGTAGTGTTGGGTATTTTCATCACTTTCTTTCAATGGGCGAGGAAAAGCCAGACACGCTTGACTTTGTGAAGGATTTCCAGGAGTATCTGAGCCAGCAGACCCAGCATGTCAACATGATCTCAGGCTCTGTCAGCGGCGTCAAGGAGGTGGACGAGCTGCCACCAGGTAACCAGCTATCTGTCTTTTATTGTTCACATTTTTGCAATATTCAGCAGTTTTATTCGTCTGGATTTGGTGGTATTTGATACAGTTTTATCTAGACCAGCAGCTGACAGATGCACCTATACGTATTATGTGATATCTGACTTTAAATATCTAGTTATCAGGCATGGTCATCTACATATTCCTTCAATAAGTCTGTGATAAATCGGTGTTTCAATGCATTAATGCACAAATGTTACTAAAGTATAATACGATATGTTATTTTACAACCAACAGGAGTGACAGCTGTAGGGTTGAGTCTAAAGCAGTTATAGAGGTCATCAAAAAATAATAATTCCATCCTAAATATTTTTTCAGTAGATAGTTGAATATAATTAGATTTTGTAAGGGGTGACATTTCATTTTTATAAAAGATCCTGCTTATGTTCTTGTGCAGACTGCGGTCAGAATGGACTGGATCACCCCTCAGTGGACATGTCTCTGGAGGACAGCTCAGGGATCCTAGTGGATGGTTTTGAGAGGACCTATGATGGCAAGCTCAAGTGCCGCTACTGCAACTATGCTACCAGAGGCACAGCAAGACTCATTGAGCACATCCGAATTCACACAGGTAAGTGATGATACTTTAGTTTAAGAGAATGTCATTGACATTGTTTTGTTATTAAGTCTGTTTTCCTCTTTCAAACAGGAGAGAAACCTCATCGCTGCCATCTTTGCCCATTTGCTTCGGCCTATGAGCGCCACCTAGAGGCCCACATGCGATCTCACACGGGCGAGAAGCCTTATAAGTGTGAGCTGTGCTCTTTCCGCTGCAGTGACCGTAGCAACCTGTCGCACCATCGCCGTCGACGCCACAAACTGCTGCCAATGAAAGGTGCGCGCTCACTCTCCCACAAGAAGATGCTGAGTGTTTTACAGAAGAAAGCCAGCTCACTGGGCTATGGCCGCCGGCTCCTCATCAACTTCAGCCCCCCTTCTATGGTGGTGCACAAAGCTGACAATGTGAACGACTTCTCCCATGAGCTGCCCCACTTACGCCAAGAGTCGTATGATAATCAGGGTCGCACAATCGACGATGGGCACTCCACAAATCACCAAGACATGGTTATGGAAAACCCTCTGAATCAGCTGTCCACCCTGGCAGGCCAGTTGGCGAGTCTCCCTTCAGAGTCCCAGGCCCAGAATCAACCCCCCATGTCTCCAGGAGCAGAGTCTATCGTCGATGAGAAGCCTTTCCTCATCCAGCAGCCCCTCCCTGCCACAGCTCCTGTAGCTGTCTCAGCCAGCATGGCCCACGCCTCCTGCTCGTCCCCAATCACCCCAGAGCCCAGGGGCCCCCCCCACATCACCTGCAGCCCTGGAAGGGGACCCTGCAGCGAGCACAGTGGGCGCACCAGTACCCCCAGTGTCTCCAACAGCCAACCCAGTACGCCGGCCCCAGGCCTGTCTGTCCCACTCCAGGACCTCCACATGCTGCATCACTGCCAGCACTGTGACATCTACTTTCCCGACAACATCCTCTACACTATCCACATGGGCTGCCACGGCTACGAGAAACCATTCCAGTGCAACATCTGCGGCCACAAGAGCAAGAGCAAGTATGACTTCGCCTGCCACTTTGCCCGCGGGCAGCACAAGTGATGGAAAAAAAAAACTTTTATTGGACAGCCTTGTTTTATTAATTCCATAGTTATATTATTTATTGGTCTTTGACTTGGCCTTGATGTAGCCTAGCCTTTGAAAGTTGTACTTATAAAATGGCAACATTCAGATGGTTTCATTTTGTATACCTGTGGGTGCCCATTCAAGTGTATTATGAGGGGATGATCAGTGTTTTCCACTGGTTGAGAATGTATTTGTAGTAAAGGAGGGATTTACATTTACACACTGTTGTAAATCAGAAAAAAAGATTCTCTATTTAGCTGAACTAATTCACCATATTTTATGTAATAGATGACCAAATTCCTAATACATGTGAAAAGAAATTGCCTTTTGGGTTTTTAAAATGCATAACTCGTGTGACCTTAACCTTTCACATATGTAATTCCAATGCAATACCATGCAACACTATGGTAGCTGACAAAAAAAGCCTTATGAATTACGTTAGAAAAATGGTCAACATGTTCCAGGTTTGGGATTTAGAGTAAAATGGCTAAAACACGGACTGAATACAGGTGTGATCTTTTCGGTATAGGAAAAGATATCACACATGAAATTGGCTTCCACTTTTAACAGCATGTCCCTTTTAGCTAAATAAAAATACATTCTCAACCCTACTGGAGCTATTTCTAAAGGTTGATCGGATGTTATTGACACAGCAGTGAACCTGTTGGCCTTGAGTGATCTTACTAAAGCCTTGTTGAAATTATTTCATTATTTAGTGCATTACTTCTATTTCTTTGCAGTGCCTGACATAGTCACCTTAATTGGTCCAAGATATAGAGGACTGTTACTTCTTTACATATTAATAGATATTATTACAATATCCTGTTTCTACTTAATGTAAAGGGCCTGGAACCTTAGAAAAAAGTTTGGGCCTTTGTAATTATTTTTTGGTAGCCATGATTTTTTTTTGCCAAAATCCTGCTCCAAGATTGCTGCTAAAAAAAAATTGGAATATATTTATGGCATTCACAGTAAATTATGGCCAACGTTTGTAACTGTGGTTTGTGATCTGAGTTGTCAAACTACATGTTGTAGACGTCGGGAGTTCCTTCACACAGTGCCCTTCCTTGACCAGCATCATGGTCACATCACTTGTTTTTGTTTAAATGGTTTTGTATATCTTTTTAATCACGTCCTGATGTTTTGATATTGTATGAAGTCACTTTAATATCCAGTGTTTAGGACAGAATCACCAAGTCTTGTGTCTCATGTGAACACGTTTTCAGAATTGCCACGTAGCACAGGGGATGCCAAGTTTTAGCCTTTGTGATAAGACAAAGAGATTCCCCATCCATCATACGGTTCCTTTAAAGTGCTTTTCTGAATATTTACTGAGTATTGTATTCTGAGTCGGTGGGTAGATGTTTAGTGTCCAAAAAAGCAAATGTTGCAGTGAGACTGCTACATCAGCAAGATTATTCTTTGTCTTGGGTACTGTTGTTTGTTGCTTAGCAACATGTGTGAAGAACATAGTTACTGTTTCTAGGACCACCTCCTTGTTGCCATGCTTACCAGTACTGGGAGCATCCAGTAATGACTGCCTTATGTTCTCTGTGTCGTAGGTTCATAGGTAACAGTGAATGTTGAGCCTGTTGGCGATCACTCTACCCCTGCGGGATGGCAAATCATTTAATTGTGAGATGGATTAATCTTACTAATTTATAAGTAAAGTGTTTTCTAACTTACTGCACTGTGTCTTCTGTCATCCTTTTTCTTCATCTTATTTGTGTTCAAGAACGGAAATTAATAACAGTGATATTTTTATCATGGGTTTAAAATATTTAAAGTTCACTTGAGAGTATGTCATGATGAAATATACAAACACAGATTGTCTTTTGATGATGCTTTTAATCAGTTAATGAAGAAAGGAAAGAAGTGCTGAGTATGATTCATTGTCACAATGAACAGAAAGAACAGTGAAGATGATTGAAGCCGCAGAATCAAGTTAGGCCTTCTCCTGCTTAGGAGTCTCTTCCTCCTGTTTCTCAGGTTCTGTCAAAGAGAAAGTGACTTGTGTTTTATTGTACAGTTTTCTTAAGGTTATGACATCCCAACCAAAACCAAGTACAGATGACTACAGACCTTTGAATTGGATGGGACCCAGGACCAGAGTTTGGCTGTCGTGTTTTGACCCCACATCTCTGGCGGCACGGTTGTAGCATCCACGGCGGCAGCGGGAATTGTTGTCAGAGGCGGGGCATATCAGGACCTTGCACTGGATGTACAACGACTCTGTGGCTCGCAGGAATTGGAAGGCCTGAAATCTGAAGCGGGCATAGGGACGGGTGCCACTGACGTAGGCATAGTAGGTGTTATCCACAGGACAGCTACAGGAGAAACAGACAGTGTTACTGGAGAATATTACTATGTCCGGTTATCAGAAAAAGCTAGGTCCAGTAAGTATTTCTATATTTGAATACTTAACTGGTTAAAGAAAATATTAGATTCTATATAAAATAGACCAATCACACAATTAAAAAATATTCCATTGCAAGAAAAGTCCTACATTCAGAATTGTACTTATGTTTACTGTTTGTATAAAAATCTACTCATTCTGCAAAAAATTGACATATCAAGTGTTACATGTTACAATATTTCTGTCAGTAATGTATAAGAAAAGTGCATCAAAGAAAAATATTTACTAATTGTGTTTAGTAACTTTCCATTACTGATGTTTGATGTACTTCACTTGATTTTCAAATGTCACAAATCACACAGCTCTGCTTTTACTCAATCTTCACTGAAACACAGCATACTGTCATCTCACCCGTTGCGGACCAGGTAGTAAGATCTGTTCTGCAAATCATGGGGCGATGGTGAGGTCACACAGGTGTCCAGATAGAGGACCAGGGAGCTGTCCCCCCTCCTCAGGTCCACTTGGACATACATGTACTGGTTAAGCGTCACCATGTATGGAACCTCAGTCACCTAAAAGTGTAAAAGCAAAACGTCAGCATTGTATCTAGGTATTTACAGAAGGATTTAAAAATGTTTTAACACACCTGATAGTAGAAGTTATTGGATGTGTAGAACGCCATGCTGGTATTGAATCTGCCTGTTCCAGTAATGCTGCTGTTATCATTGTGACGGACAACGTACATGATCTGGGACACTGAATCCGGCTCCATCCGACAGCCCACGTTCATCTTAAAGTGAGACTGGCGAGTGATCTCGCCAGAGGTGGAGGCGTAGGCTCGGAGAGAGTTGGTGTACACAATTCTGCCATTCTCAAACTGGTAAACAGAAGATATTAGAAAACAGTCTTCTAATTATGACAGTTATTTGAGTCAGGAAGTACTGTATGTTGTTCATTTTTTTCGAAAGTTGCTAAGTAAGTTAGCCTAAGTTGTGTACCTTTCGAACATTGCCACAGGTGTTAATGGGGAAGTTGAAGACCACCTGGTAACTGGAAACCTGGGGTCTGCAGTACTGGTCATTCAGATACAAACTATGGCCGTCGTAGCCGAGAGAGTTGAGGTAACTCCTCTCGATCACAATGTTCATGTTGTCTGAGGAACAGTCCACTCGACCTGACAAAGGAATCGTTTTCACGGGATATTTACGACAGTTTGAATTACTTTTAGAATAAAGGTTTAAGATTACACATGGTTGGTTTGTCCACTGAAATATATGTAATACAATTAACAGGATTAGTATGAACTTTTGTGCAGATGTTCATGATCCCCAGAGGTTGAACCTTCTGACTGCAGTGATCCCCTAGTTCTTCCTGATGCGCCAGCATGAGGTTAACATTTTTGGTTTAAAATCAAATCAGGTTTTATTTATATAGCACATTTAAAAGCGATTTTTGGTCGAGCCAAAGTGCTGTACATGTAATAAAAACACATTACTACAAATCACAATAAACGACAATAAATTACAACAGATATATCTTAAAAAACAAAATAAAAATAAAACACACGGAAAAGTCAGGAGTCGTGCTCCGCTCTAACTAGAAAGCCAGAGAGAAGAAGTGTGTTTTTAGTTTTGATTTAAAAACCCCTATAAAATAAAGTGCATTAACATACGGATTGCAATGAAAGTTGGTGCTTGTATTCATGTCCCCATCAAGATTAAATATAATAACTTCCTTTACTTTCCATATAGCACCATCCTCAGGTGTACATTTAATTTTTTCTTTTTTCTTGCCATCTTTGTCAATCTACAGGAAACATTTAACCCAAATATAATGTCATAATAAAACAAATTAAAAAAACTACCATAACAGTACCTGAGCTTTCTGGCAGAGAGCTAATGAAGTCAGCATTGAACCCTCGGCCAACAACAGAGCCATCAGTCCGGAAGACCACCGTCATGTAGTTGGAGGTGGAGTAGAAAGTACTCTGTTGTCGACTGTCGTTGCACACTTTACCCAGAAATCTTGAGTTAACAGACGGCCCATCGTAGACGTTAATATAGTCACAGTCGCAGCAGTTCTCCAATCTGTTTTTAAGATGACAGCCACAAATTATTGACTTGCAGAATGAGTTGATGATAACACATTAAGTGCCAAATTTCCCACAAGTTAAAATATTCCTAAAACATTAAGGCTGCTAATATATACGAATGTTCTCCAAAAGGGAGTGTTTTCTTCACTCACTGCAGGTAGTCGAAAGACAGGAAGATTCGTTGGTCGTGTGCAGCACTGAGCTGCCACACACAGTTGGCGTTATCGTGGTAGTTGTTGGGATGGTTCGGGCTGGAGAAGGAACCAGAGCCATACAGAGAGCCTCCACAGGGCGATGCTGACCGTGAAGAACATAACATAAGTGTCATTGGAGTAAACTATACAGTACAAGAGGCTCATGTTGCACACTAAGGGTCCTACCTGTAGCTGGCATGTCAGTTGTGACTTGCCATTTTATTTTTTCCCATTATTTTTTGTTTGATAATACCTATAACATCAGATTCACTTGTATGTTGTATCACCTTGTGTTGTTTTAAATGAAGATGGTAAACCTGGTGTATGTACTATATCATGCCAAAACCTTGCCATCTTTGTCAATCCACAGGAAACATTTAACCCAAATATAATGTCATAATAAAACAAATTAAAAAAACTACCATAACAGTACCTGAGCTTTCTGGCAGAGAGCTAATGAAGTCAGCATTGAACCCTTGGCCAACCACAGAGCCATCAGTCCGGAAGAGCACCGTCATGTAGTTGGAGGTGGAGTAGAAACTTAAAGTACTCTGTTGTCGACTGTCGCTGCACACTTTACCCAGAAATCTTGAGTTAACAGACGGCCCATCGTAGACGTTAATATAGTCACAGTCGCAGCAGTTCTCCAATCTGTTTTTAAGATGACAGTCATAAATTATTGACTTGCATAATGAGTTGATGATAACACATTAAGTGCCAAATTTCCCACAAGTTAAAATATTCCTAAAACATTAAGGCTGCTAATATATACGAATGTTCTCCAAAAGGGAGTGTTTTCTTCACTCACTGCAGGTAGTCGAAAGACAGGAAGATTCGTTGGTCGTGTGCAGCACTGAGCTGCCACACACAGTTGGCGTTATCGTGGTAGTTGTTGGGATGGTTCGGGCTGGAGACGGAACCAGAGCCGGACAGAGAGCCTCCACAGGGCGATGCTGACCGTGAAGAACATAACATAAGTGTCATTGGAGTAAACTATACAGTACAAGAGGCTCATGTTGCACACTAAGGGTCCTACCTGTGGCTGGCATGTCAGTTGTGACTTGCCATTTTATTTTTTCCCATTATTTTTTGTTTGATAATACCTATAACATCAGATTCACTTGTATGTTGTATCACCTTGTGTTGTTTTAAATGAAGATGGTAAACCTGGTGTATGTACTATATCATGCCAAAACCTTGCCATCTTTGTCAATCCACAGGAAACATTTAACCCAAATATAATGTCATAATAAAACAAATAAAAAAAACTACCATAACAGTACCTGAGCTTTCTGGCAGAGAGCTAATGAAGTCAGCATTGAACCCTCGGCCAACCACAGAGCCATCAGTCCGGAAGAGCACCGTCATGTAGTTGGAGGTGGAGTAGAAACTTAAAGTACTCTGTTGTCGACTGTCGTTGCACACTTTACCCAGAAATCTTGAGTTAACAGACGGCCCATCGTAGACGTTAATATAGTCACAGTCGCAGCAGTTCTCCAATCTGTTTTTAAGATGACAGCCACAAATTATTGACTTCCATAATGAGTTAATGATAACACATTAAGTGCCAAATTTCCCACAAGTTAAAATATTCCTAAAACATTAAGGCTGCTAATATATACGAATGTTCTCCAAAAGGGAGTGTTTTCTTCACTCACTGCAGGTAGTCGAAAGACAGGAAGATTCGTTGGTCGTGTGCAGCAATGAGCTGCCACACACAGTTGGCGTTATCGTGGTAGTTGTTGGGATGGTTCGGGCTGGAGACGGAACCAGAGCCGGACAGAGAGCCTCCACAGGGCGATGCTGACCGTGAAGAACATAACATAAGTGTCATTGGAGTAAACTATACAGTACAAGAGGCTCATGTTGCACACTAAGGGTCCTACCTGTAGCTGGCATGTCAGTTGTGACTTGGCAGTAGGCTGTTAACAAAAACAACGTGGGTTTCAGATTTTGCGTGGATACTGTGCCAATTGTGTGGGACATGATACTTACAGTAGTCGTCATTAAAACAGTTTCCATTCAATTCACAAGAGCTTGAATAGTAGCAGCTTCCCATAAGATATATTTTGTAAGTGGAGGTTACTGTCAGGTTTCTGTATGGACAGGCTAAAAAGGGTCATGTTCATACTCTTGAGACTTTGAACACCAATAACTTATACCGCTGTTTTGTTGTTGAGTTTCAGGGTAATTGTTTTAGTCAGGGCTTTATTCAAACAGTGGTAAAGGTGCAAGTATACTCAATCAGAAGGCTTGTCGGGTGGTGGAATAGCTGTAGAATTCAAATTGTTTTTTAGTACTTTCAAATCAATTTATACAGTTTTTCTCTTCCTTCATAGATTCCTGTTTTGCTTAGAGTACAGAAAGATCCCCCATTGTGTCCTACCACAACATCCTGTTACTACAAGTAACACATCATATTAAAAGGAAATTATGCAAGTTTGTAATACAGTCGATTTATATGGATACTTGGGATGACAATTCAGTAACTTTGTGAATCTTGGCACTTACAATAGTAGTCATTGCAGCAGTTTCCATTGTATTGACAAGAGCTTGAGCAGGAGCAGCTTCCCATGTGCCGGCCACAGTTGTAACGACACGAGGGCTGAGCTGTAGGAGAGACAGAGTGACGTTAACAGTACAGTATAAAGGAAATGTTACATATAAAGTAGCTGAAGGTAAATGGGTAAAAGTGAGTAAAGAGGCGGCAGTAGCTCAGTCTGTAGGGTCTGGAGTGTGGACTGGTAGCTGGAGATAATAACTTTTGTAATAAAAGTCTGTCTTTCTTTCTTTTTCTTTCTTAGTAGCTTGAAGAGTTGTACATACGTGTCACGTAAGGGTCCTGGGTAGTGCTTGCAGGGCAGTAATCTAGATAGAGAGAAAGAGAGAGAATAACAAGCTTTAATCTTTGTTTTACTGCATAATTCATTAGAAAACACCAGTGTTGTAAACTGTAGTCCCATATCGTACTTAAGTAAAGTAGAAATACTACAATGAAGTTAAAATCCTGCATATAAAATCTTACTTAAGTAAAAGTACAAAATCCAAAAATACCAAAAGTAAAAGTATTTACTGTGTGCAGTGTCCCGAATCATATATATTAAAATACTGGATTATTTGTGTTAATGCATTTATGTGTTAATCACAGCTGTTAAAGTGGAGCTACTTTCAGTTATTCTGCTGCTGGATATATGAACATATAATTATATATCATTTTTATATATTAGTTTATTGAAAATTTGTTTTAGCTAATAATCTGAATCTGAAAAGTAACTGATTTTGTCTAAATAAATGTGATGGAGTAAAAAGTATAATATTAGCTCCCAAATCGTAGTGGAGTAGAAGTATAAAGCAGCATATTATAAAAATACTCAATTGAAGTAAAAGTACCCGAAAATCGGACTTAAGTCAATACTTGATTGAATGTACTTTACACTTCTGGAATACACCTATAGCTCTTAAACAAAAGGGGAAATGTGAGTGATTTCTCCTCAGCTGCTAAAGGTTTTTTACCCGTTGATTTGTTTGACTTGGCACTTACAGTTGTAGTCATGGCAACAGTTGCCATAGTATTGACAAGAGCTTGTGCAGGAACAGCTTCCCATGTCCCAGCCGCAGTTGTAACGACATGAGGGCCGAGCTATGGGAAACAACATGTACTTTAAAGAGTGATAACTAGAATTGTTTTGAAATAAAACTTTACCTGAGTGAAATGAACAATACCTGTATGTGCTGCTGTTTCAGCTGAAGAAGAGCAGTAATCTGTAAAGCAGAAATATTAGATTGGTTGGTGTATCAGAATCAGATTCAGCTTTATTGGCCAATGTGTGTACAAGGAATTTGACTCCTCATTTCTGTTGCTATCAATGTGCAAACAAAGAAATACCGGTCTTTGTTTTGCAGGCAAAACAAGGACAACAAATATAAACAAGGTAAGTATAAACAGTTGACTATATGTACACACGTAAATATATTAATATAAAGTGTAAATATTAAAAATCACAAATGAAACGTTTTGTAGATAGGACAATGGTGCGATGGAGTAAACACATACACTTACATATACTTATGAACCTAAACCCTTATTTGTTGTTTTCTCTTATTAAATATATCAATGATTGATTTGCTGGTTCACCCCAGTGATAGAAAAGGTATTTAGATCCTAACTCAAGCTAAAAGTACAAGTATAACAATATAAAAAACCTATGTTATAAATAAAAGTTCCAATAAGGGGCTTACCATAATAGTCTGGACAGCAGTCCCCATTGGTTCCACAGCTTGAAGAGCAAGAGCAGTTTCCAACATGGTTGCCACAGCTGTTTAGGCAGGAATCTGCGGAAAGAGCAGACGGAACAATCGCCATCACTGAAAACACACAGTTAGGCTCTCAACATAATGTTATGTTTCATTTTTTACATTTTGGAACCATAAGGGTTATAACATGTGATCTGTGTCATTCTTCTACAGACAAAAACTAAACATTAAAAATGCTTTCAGTTTGTAGCCTAGTTAATTCTTAAATGATTTGGAAAGCAACACTTTGCTGCTTCATTAGTGCATCCTCCTAGTAAACAGTTACCTGTGTACCTGCAAGTTATTCAGAACTATATATTAAATCAGTTATTTTTTAGGTATAAATCAGAACCATGATCAGACGTTATGCTGCTAATTCTGGAGGTAACCTTTTTACCAGTTTTAAATTATTGATTTTAATGTTTTACCTGGAGAACCTGTTGCCAGATTCCTTTCCTCACTTTGTTGGAGCTGATCAGCACCTGATGAGAAAAACACATAAAGGAATGATTACAACATCCATAAACCCTTAATCCAAAACCAAAGAGACACAAACAACAATAAGAAAATGGTGCACAATACCTTGCGCTCTAAGTGAGGCAATCACGCTGCAAAGAACCACAAGAGTCCACATGGCGAATTCCTTTACCTTCCAACCTGCTTCACATGCTGAACACTGCAGCTTATATAGGCAGACACCTTGACGTGGCACCCTTAAAGTGTCTGAAACCACCAACAGTGATACTGATTGATTACTCATTAATGAGAAAGACAGCACTTAGTTAACTATCATGAAGCGTACACAAAGATTGTTCACATTTGGTTTCAGGATGTGTTTAAGGATGTTTGCATCAAAAATACCGTTCAACTTCACAAGGGCCTTTGGGAACTTACAGATGGGCAGATAATACAATATCAAGTATGATCTTACATGTGTAGCTAACATCTGAAGATGTGTCACTGCCTCTTGTAACTACACCAATCCTGCTGCATCAGTTGCATTGCTTTTACTGTAACTGGAGATGTTAAAACTTTTTTATAAAAATGATAGTAAAATACTGATGTTGTTTCAATTATGTTAAATCTTTACAGAAACTTATATTTGTCCTGTCCTTTACATGCACACATGTAACACAAGTAATTTAACTTTATCTACATATGTTTTCTGGCAAATCATTTCAGCAGAAGGCCTTAGCTCTACCCTCCTGTTATCCTCAGATTTACTTTACACCCTTTATCCTCTGGGGTCAATTTGACCCCAGTAGTTTAAAACTCAATGATCCTATTCCACATTTTAACCAAAATGTATGTCTCTGGTGCTTTAGGTATCTTAGTTAGGTATCTTAGTTGACTACCTAAATAACCATTTAAATAAAACATTACCCCAACCTTCCCCCCACAGACCCCTTTATACATCCAGAATTCCTATTATGTGACTATAGAAAAATATATAAATCACCATAAAATCTCACTGACTGAAATAAAATGTTAAAATAAGATCTTTTTGATGTTGTTAAAGGACCAATAACTAAAGCAGAGGGTAGTTTTGTTTTACAATGATACATTTGAATGTAATAGTCACCTCAATATCATCCTACACAATCAACACAAATATGTGTAAAATATTGACATTTGTATATGTTTTATACTACTAAAACAGCCAGGGGTCAAATTGACCCCAAGGAACACCGATGTGTACAAAGTGCGTACAGGACATTTAAAAAAGATCTTCATGTTCATTTTATGTTTACCCATTAGTCCGCACTAAATTAGGAAGAGTCATGAAATACTAAGCAAAAAAATAATGTGAACAATGTTTTTTAGATACGTTAAACATTGAATGGGGTCAAATTGACCCCAAGGATAACAGGAGGGTTAATAGCAAATGTTAATGAATGTTAATGAATTGGCAATTCATTAATTAACCATTCTTGCTGACTTGCAATTGTAAGCATGCTGACTTGCTGAACAAAGATGGTGAACAAAGTAAAAATACCTTTTATTTGCTGAAAGTCAACATTTTAACATCATGTTGCACTTGTTTAATACAATACATTGTTTAATGTATTGTATTGTCTGGGTTGGATTGTATATATTATCCAATTATAAGGCGTATCTAAATTACAAATGAAAATATGAAACATCTCATTTAATTATATATTATATTTGTGGTTGTATAAATCAAATATTATAAATGACCTTTTAAAATGTACAGCCATGTCATACTTTGCTTTCATCTATGATCATCAATTTTATTCTTCAAGTATAAACCTAAAAATCTATTTAAAAGAAAATCTGATCTTTTTAATGTGTTTATTTGGTAAATTGGGAATATTGGACTTAATATTTGTATCAATGAGTTGCTACACAAAAACACACTGTGTGGTGAACGTGCAACATAGCGATGTGTCATTGGTTGAAACGAGGACAGAAGAAGAAGAAGCATGAATGTTCTTTATCAGTTTGACATTGTGAACAGTTAGTTGAGTGACCTTGAATACTTTTCTGTC